CGTCAGATCGAGTTACTACTGGGAAGTTGCAACTTAGCAAGGGTTAGAGATATGATCAACGACTTCCGTCTCTTTGTTGCGCTCTATACTGGCACTGCAGGCTCAAGAAGTACTCGTCCAACATGGGCGTAGCATCTTTCGCAAACAGCCGGTTTTGGAACAGGAGACTCCAGTACACTTGATTATAGATTGCCTAACAATCAATCGTGGGAATTATTCAGATATCTTTCTGACCATATAGAAAATAGCTCGCTGTGCAAAACCTCAATTATTTTCCATCTACAGTTGTTGAAGTCAATTTCCGGAATATCCCTCAATGCGCGCAGCGATTCACGTTTAATGTCTTCAATTGACTCAAAACGGTTTCGCAATTTTCGGCAGTCATCGTTTGAGTTTCCTAAGTAGCCAAAAGTCACACGGAGCTAAATCAGGCGAATACGGCGATTGCGGCACGTTATTGGTTGAAATTATCGTCGTGCAAAAAACAGAGTTGTTGACCCATAGTTCCGGCCTCTTTTTACGAATGGCTTCGCGCAAGCGACGCATAACACTCAAATATTATTTCTTATTGACAGTTAGGATGGTGGGAAGGAATTCGAAGTGCATCACACCTTGATAATCGAGGGAAACTGTCAACATCACCTTGATTCTTTAACTGCTTTGTCGTGGTTTTTTTGGCTTCGGCTCACCCTTTCCACAATATTCGACCGATTGATCGATCGTCTGTTTCCGGGTCGAAAGCATGGATCCAAGACTCATCGCCAGTAATAATACGTTATATGACAATCTGGTAATCGGAAAGCATTTTTTAAGAGACATTAACACGACATTGTTTTTCGAAAAAAATTATAGATTTTGGAGCCAATCGTGCTTCCACTTTCTTAGGCCCAAATTATCTTTCAAAATCGTATTCAATCGTTTTTCGAAAATTCCAACAACGCCAGGGGCATCTATGACTGTTAGTTGTCGATTCTCAAGCATCATTTCCTTTATTTTATTGACGTGCTGATCATGAGTTGTTGTTGATGGCCGTCCCGAACTTTTTTCGTCATCAACGCGTTTTCGAACCTCTTTGCATAAGTTGTACCAATCAAAATCGCTTGTTTGCGACAAACAATTATTACCAAAGGCTTTCCCGATATTCTGAAAAAAATTTAATGGAACTCCTTTATAACAATTTCACTCATTGATTTTTACGATACCGAATGGGTTTTATGCACTTCAGAAAGACAACTGTTATACTAAACATTGATTATTTGATGATGAATGATTATTTTGACACGAGATTAGGCACAGATGCACTGTCTAACGTAGAAAAAAAATATTTCGCCAAATAATTTTTGCATGAAATTTAAATTAAAAAATCTTACTAATTTTTGCCCACAGTAGTGTTATCTAATGTGCAAACAGCACCTGCCAATATATAAAATTGTTCATAAAAATACATTTTTGCCAATCATTTTGAGTCTATTCTTAGTTCTAATACATATATATGTATGTATGAATGTATGAACATAAGTACTCTTTCTGAAAAAAAAAAATAAAATGTAATATTCTTTCCGCAGCATATGCAGGCGTAAAAATTAAAATGTCTCTGCTTTCCTACAAATGAAAATGCAAAATGAAAATAATAAAATAATAGACATTTTGTCAACAATTTTTTTCTGTCACATCTTAACGTTGTTGCATGTAACAAATGCATGGCAGCGGTGCAATATTTGGTCATAAAAGCAAAGTGCAATAAATTTATGGTTTACGGAATACAATCTTGTTTTACTACAAGCCAAAAAGGAAAATTTTACAAAACCACGAAACAAAAACAAGATAAAAAAAAAAACAAAGTTAACTTAAGTTGCACCGAAGTTTTCACAAGTATGAAAGGTTCCTCACAATAACTTGATTTTGTTTTGTATGGTAGTTATGGGTGACCCATTTCAAAGTTCCCTACATTCTTAAATCAAAAACACAAAGACTTAAAATTTAATGGAGAAAGAAAATTTTTTGAAGTCCAATTTTCCATGACTTGTTGGACCATTTCGACTGGTAGCTGGCGAATGACATGAGTGATGTTTTGCTCAGTGGCCTGAAGCAAAGGGGGATTGTCTGCATTGACTTTAAACTTTGCATATCCCCACACGAAAAAGTCTAACGGTGTGATATCACACGATCAACCGGCTCAAAAGGTGAAATTATTAACTAACCGATGTGTTCGCTCAATAAATCCATTGATTGATGCGATGTAGGCTAGAAGTGGCGTCATCTTGTTGAACCCAAATGTCGCCGAGATCACGAGCTTCAATTTCAGGTATCAAATAGTCGGTTATAATGGCAATAACGGTTGACAATGGAATGTTACGTCCTCTCCGCCATCATTTTTGTAGAAATATGGACTGATGATTCCAAGGGCCCACCAACAGTACCAAACCGTTCTTTTTTCTGAATGAAATGGCAACTCTTGTATCTTTTCAGGCTGCTCTTCGTACCAAATGCGACAATTTGGCTTGTATACATACCCATTTAGTCAGGCATGATCATTATCGCTGAACAAATTTTTTTTACGAAAACGTCGGTTGTGCTTGGAACCTTTCAAGAAGGGAAGGTAGAATTTAAAATCTCGATGAAAAATGCACCAAGTCATTCCATACATACGTCAGTGCGAGTTGCAGCGGTTGGCGCCAAATCAACTCACCACAGTCTACGTCTACACTCGCGTGCTAGACGTGGTATATTCGGTCGAATATTATCGAATAATGAATACTAGGTCTCAAGTATGCCGATTATGGTGGCCATAAGTTCAATGAAGCGCGCGAAACACATTATGTACAGTCTTTTCATGATGGAATGCCAAACAATACTCAACAAAAACAACATGACAGCTTGACACGACTTACGCTACTTCACCCGTTATGTCTCAAAAAGGGAGGGAATAGTTGAGTATATATAGACAGACAGACATGGCTAAGTCCACGATTCCTTCTCAGTTTTAGAAACTTCGTGGCAAATTTATTATATATATGTACCCTGTTCCGAATATAAAAACTATATGTACACCCTTAAAAATTATGTTGTTCTACACAATCATGAGCGCTGTGTATTAAAAATATTTCGTACTTCAAAAGTTTTACTCCGTCGATGATTTTCCAGTAAGTAGAAGCGCTGGCGAAATGTTTGTATTTTTGTATTTTTATTTACCAATCTATAGCACAAACATATATTGCAATGTTTTTATTATTAAATATTCAAGTAGTAATTTTATTGTGATTTTCATTGTTATTGTTTTTCGCACGCTCCTACAACCTAATAAAAATATTTGTTCTTGCTCTTTAGCCATATAGTATGCATCGCAATATACATACATACATATATAACATGATTGTTTCTATATGTACTTAGCATTCGTATGCAGACCCAGTATGAAATTAGGGAAAATCATTTTCTTTTTCAAATTTTGATTGGTTATTCCTTATTATAAATCGATATCTCAAAATTGTGTTGAGCCTTTTAATGTGTAGCTTAATCAGTTCAATCAGTTTAAACGAGTTTTTCTGAAAACAACATTTTTCGAATTTGTTTAAGTGATTACTTCCGTGTACCTGTTTGATCTGGCAGGCCAAAAACTTTCCCCTCGCTGTCGCCCTTACATCAGGACAATATCTTCTAGAACAGATTTTTCTTAGGTTTCATACATGCAGAAAGCAGAAATCACTTATAGGGTTATCTAAGTAGAAGTACATTATTTTGACAGATCATACATGAGTCGTGTCAAGCAGTTACGTTATATTTGTTCAGTATTGTTTGACATTTCATCATGTATTACAAATCGTTCAACTTTCTTATGAAAATTCACCTTCTTTAGAGAATGTGTTTCCCGCGCTTCGTTCAACTTATAGTCAATACAATCAGCATAATGAGCGTACTATTCGCAATACCATCAACTATCCGGAGATCCTTCATTCATTATCGGATACTATTCGACCGAAAAGACCACATCCAGCACGAAGCGAAGCCAGGTCCTTCCAACGGAGTGGAGGTCTTCCTCTTCCTCTGGTTACCCCGGCGGGTACTGCGTCGAAAACTTTCAGAGCTGGAATGTTTTCGTCCATACGGATAACATCACCTAGCCAACGTAGCCGTTGTCTTTTAATTCTTTACTTCTCAATTGCCTACACCGTCCAAAGTAGTACCTGTTGGCAAGAGTAATCCTGCGTTGGATTTCCAGGCTGACATTGTTGGTGGTGTTTATACTGGTTCCTAAATAGACGAAATTATCTAAACTTCATAGTTATGACTGTCAAAAGTGACGTGGGAGCCAAGTCGCGAGTGCGACGACTGTTTGTTTGATGACAGGAGATATTTCGTCTTGCCCTCGCTCACTGCCAGACCCATTTGCTTTACTTCCTTGTGCAGTCTGGAGAAAGCAGAACTAACACCCGCGCCGTAGAGGCCGTTGAGGCCGATGATATCAATATCATCAGCATAAGTCAGCAGCTGTACACTCTTATAAAAGATTGTACCTGCTTGATTAAGTTAGTTAATTGAGCAGGGTCACCAGTTCGCAAAATTTAGTCGGTATTTTCAAATACATTCTTAGTATTTCATTTATAAAAACAGTACTAAGAGCACTGAGTTGGTGGATGGATTTCAATATCGATTGTGGGTCGGTATCTCGTTAAATAAAAAAGCACTTTATTCTGAACGTTCAGTTTGTTTCTTCGGAGATTGTCTCATTACCTTACGAAGTAATCCATGTAAAATTTTTTTGAAGATATCTCGTCAGAAACTTTTCATACAAACACTTCAATCCGATCGTTCAGTTTGTTTGGCAGCTATATGCTACAGTGGTCCGATAACTGCATATCCGACAAATGAGCAGCTGCAAATGAGCGTGTGCAAAATTTCACATCGATATCTCAAAAACTGAGGAGCTTGTTACGGTATATACAGCAGACAGCTAGAGGACATGACTAAATCGACTCGTCTCCGTGATAATCATTCATATATAGTATATATGTATATTATAGGGTCTCTGGCGTTTTCTCCTGGCTGTTATGATAACAAGTTATTTAAGCAACAGAAACTTCATCAACGAGCATTTTTTTTTTAATTTTCGCCACATTTCATTTTCTTTATTCTCTAATCTAACACATTCATACCAAAACACGAACGTACATACCTTTCCTCCAACAAAAATATTAACAGAATTTATTGAAAACCGCTGCACACACGCTGAGCTTTGGTGATAATCGACGCGACAAGTCATCAGTTGCCACTAACAGCAGACAACAAACGGCCAAGCAATGTTTTACGCCACGATCGGTTTCACAACAACAACAGGCATTAGCAAAGCTAATAAACAAAACAAAAACAATCGGAATGATCAACTCATTAAGCAGACAAATTAATGAATGAGAAGCACAAAAGTGTCGCATTCTGTCGCAATATTCTTGGATTTTATGCTCTACACATTTATGGGCGACGTGGAGGTGCGGCAAGATGATTGCAGACTGTTGGCTGCTGCTTGCCTGCCGGCTGCTGGTTAGTTGATGGTGAATCGAACGCTTGGTGTGTGATAAACCACACTACTCGTTGTGTCTTTGTGACAGTCGCGTACAAACTCGCACGCTCAGCTGACTGTTCATTTGTCTGTCGGTTTTTGTGAGAACATTAATGCAATTGCTTGTGTTTTGCTTATAATTATTTATTGCGAGTTTTGGGAAAGGGTTTCCAGCGTTTCTGTGTTGTGATTTTACCGCTGAATGAAGGTTTATATAAAAATAGCAACCGTTATAAGTAAGCGAAAAAATTAATTTTTTTTTTGTATGATTGATATTTTAATTATATTTGGGATTTGTGTGGCAGTATTTTGTGAATAAAAATCGTTTTTTTTTTTTGAAGTTTATATAAAATTTAAATAGTGCAGAGTTTTAAATTAAAAAATCAACAAAATTTCGTCGCTAAATTCAAGTTTTGAAAACCTCAACATTTCGGATCAGGAGGAAGATGTCGACCCCATTGCGGTAAGTGCATACAATCTATACTAATTAATATAGTATATATGTATGATATGTATGTATGATATGTATATTTTTGTGCATTTAAATATATGTATATATTTATATGTATATCTTAATTTAAGCTGAAAATTGTGTCTAAAATATGTATTTACATTTTTTTTAACAATAATTATAGCAGATTACTCAATTATTTGCATTGAATTAGATAGAACTAAAAATAAAAATTTAATATTATTAACGACACCTCCAATTTTCGCACTAATTAGGTAATAAATTCAAAATAATCGCTTGAGTGCGTTAATAAAAATTTTAACGTTGCCAACAGCAGCAATTTATTTTTGTTTTGATAGTCGTTAGTTTTACAAGATTTATTGTGTGCTTAGCTGAGTTTCTCTTCGCTTTATTTTGTGCTTCTTAATCCTAACTGAATTCTTAATTCTAATTAAATTGAATCCTCCTTATATGTCCAAAGTGTGATTGGATTTTTGTAATTTTGTGCGGAAGAGGTTACATGGGTTTCAGAAAAACTGAAAATTTAATTTTTGGCAGACATTTTTTCACAAAAAAAAAAAATTTCAGTGAAAATTTTCGCAAAATTTTTTTTTTTTCAAATAGTTGTGATGGAAAAAATTAGTTTGACCAAGTCTTTAAGAATTATATTTAACTAAAAGACCTGTGTGTGTTTCATGAATATCGGTTGAGTAGTTCTCGAAAAGTCTTGCCAACATTAATATTGTTGTAAAATTTAATAAGACTTTATTGATTTTTAAATCCGTAAACCCATGTAACCCCTGAAGAACCTGCTTAAGACCAAATTATTGATAAGAACAGTGTCGAAATCTGTGTAATGGTAGTCCGTCCTTCGAATTATTGCAAATTATTGCAGCACTATGTTCGTCCGTCGAAAAGGCTATATATAGAATATAGAAAAAGCATCGCATATCTTGTGTGTAATATGCAAGTTGAGCTTTAGTTTTCATTTTTCAGCGTCTACAACTAGGCATGACGCGATATTGATGGCTGTTGGCGGTTTTCTGTCAAATTTTGTTTTTGTTCTCAGTATGGTTTGCCATTTCATCATGTTACGTTCCACTTTGGTATAACGCTTGAAAATTGTCCAAGATAGATGTTATGAATAATGTACTTGAGATTGTCATTGACATTGACATGTGAAAAGAACGCGGAAGTCATATCATTCACAAATTTTTACAAATTAAGAATCTTGCGATGGATGCTGTAGTGATCTGTTTGTTCATATTTTTATACGACTAACAAATTACGCTATTAATTGTATTTGCAACCACCATATTCCCCATATTTGGCTAGCAGAGAATATTTTCGTGGTATCAGACTTGAGAAATTACTCAAATCAGGAAGACAGGATTGAAAGAAGTGCCAATTTGAACGGTTCATAGAATCGCACTATTGAAGCAATAAGGAATTGTGTGGGGTAAAACTTTGTTCATAATTTAAATTCTTGAAAATCTGTCAACATAACCTTTGACATAGTTTTTCGGCTTTCATCGCCAGAAATAATACTTTTCATGACATCCTGGTAGTCGGAAAACATTGATTTACAGACGTTATCGCCAATTAAATCGTGCTTTCACTTTTCTTAGGCCCAAATTATCTTTCAAAATGGTTTTCACTGAGATTTCCCATATTCCAACGATGCCAGTACGATCTCTGACTCTGTTAATCGTCGATCCTCAAGCATCAATTCCTTTATTTTTATTAAGGTGTTGATGGTCAGTTGATGTTGATGACCGTGGTTCTTCGTTTTGACGCGAAATTTAAATTGTAACTATTTTTTGCCCGCAGTATTATTACAACAAATACATTGAAAAGCATTCCATCATTGTTAAAGTACATGCCCGTTGAATTTTAGCATAGTCTCTTAAAAATGTTTAAATGATGAGGTGCGAATTAATTGATATAAATATCAACTTTATTTAAAGAGTTTTTAAATGGAACTTACAAAAGTTCTGGAATTTTCCAGTTGTGTAGAATTGTCTGCACAAACTGATTAAGATATTTCTCTTTTTAAAAATTTACTATTACAATTACATATAATATAATTGCATAGTAAGATTTTGAGCTACACTTATTTATTTTTGAAGCAAATATCTCAAATATGAAATATCAGGAAATATATGTATTTTAACTATGTTTTTTGACTTGTATTGCAATACTGAAATATTACTCATAAATTATTTCGTTTTCCGCACTGTAAATTCTTTACCAATTTACAGCTGCTACACAGATAATTAATTGAACCACTTAAGCGTTTTTGCATTTATTAATTAATTACACTATTGCTGTGTACTGTGGTTCACAGTATATAACCTACTCGGATTACACGTATTTCTACATAATAAATACTACACTTATGTACTCGTATATGAATGATAAATATAATATCTTTATACATGCTGCCAGATATGCAATTTCAAATAATTTGGTATTAAAAATGTTAAGTTCGGTTGAACCAAAGCTAGAATACCCTTCACAAATAAAAAAGTTGCCATACAAGCATTAAGTTTTGATCGTTCAGTTTATATAGCAGCTATATGCTATAGTGATCCGATCTGAGAATATTCTTCGGAGGTTGCAGCGTTGCTTAACCAATGATCTTTGGGAAATTTCTTGAAAGTTTTGTCAAATAAAAAATCCTCCATACAAAAAATGGATTTTGATTGTACAGTTTATAAGGTAGCTATACCGATTTCGTAGCAAACTTAAAACACTCTTTTACGGGTATTTAAATATTCAATATCAATGTGATATGTTTGACTTTTTTCTTTCTGTCTGACTTTTTTTCTTTTTGAAGCTACAGCATTTGCAATTTTTGACCAGAAAGTGTAATGAATACCTAGAAGATCCACATTATTGTTTTTCTATTGTAAATTTAATGTAAGAAAAATATTTTTTTACACATATTCATCCGAAATATTATCCCTCGATTTCATTCTGTTCTCACTAATTGAGAACGAAATGCATTGCGCGCCTGAAAGCCTTCAGAACACATTTTCCTTTGGTACCCACTTTTGTATGGAATAGATATTTGAACAACGCTTTTTACAAATGCCAGTCCATAGATCTTAAAAGGGAATATCAAAACCAAATAAGAAAATGATAAGTTCGGGTATAACCTCCTGCAACTTGTAAGGATTAAAGCCAGGGAAGTATCTTCAGGCCCTTAATGCCTGTGAGTTTTATGGAGACTAGGGTCAGTTTTCACCCAATTTTATTCATTATAAGCACAAATATGCACTTTTATAAGAAAACACGCTCTTTAAATTTCATCAAGATAATTCAGATAGTGACGGATATAGATATCGGTATAAAGTCACCGGAAAGAATATTTATATTAAGTATACAGGGGCCGAAGGAAGAATTGAAACCATTCAACCCATTTGTAGTACACAAACATACTACTACCAGGAAAAAATTCTCTCTAAATTTCAATTGTAAATATAATACATTGAGCAATATTTTCAGTAAAAAGTCAACTCTAGGTACTGGGGTCCAAATCTTCGGTATCTAGGGGTTTTCGCTGGATTTGGACAATTTTTGGTCAAATGGTGGCATATTCTAAAGGCATTATTTGTGCAAAGTTTTATCCCGTATTGCTTCTTGATTTATTTACTCGAAAGAAAAAATTCAGATAGAATTTAAAATTATGCGAACCTACAGCTAGTCACCAGAATTTCAACTCGTCTCGTCAACCCAATTATTTATATAATATATACAAGATGCGTTAGAATCTGCTATCTTTATCGAATGTCTAGTGAGAATTTCATAACATTTTATAGATTGGAAGTGAAGTTATTGAGTGTTATCGGCGCGAAAATGAGCTTTGAACAAAGAGCCAACATTAAATTTTATTTTAAAATTGGTAAAACTTTTACCGAAACGTTTCAACTGATGAAACAATTTTACGGCGATGATTGCCTACCCTGAAGCAGAGGACATGAGTGGTTTCAACGTTTTCAAAGTGGTAGCGAGGACATAAATGACGATCAACATGTGGGCCAATCAAAATCCGTAATCACAGGAGATTCCATCGAAACTGTGCCAAAAAACTCTCATCAAAAATCAGCCGAAATCATCATTGAAATTATTTGAAATGGAATTGAACATCTCCAAAACATCGATTTATCGCAATTTGACCGAACATTTAGATTTACGAAATGTGTGTGCACGGTTTGTTCCGTACAATTTGACTGGCGACCAAAAATTGCTCAGAATCCAACATTCGATCTACGCTTCTGCCCGATTATTTGACCAAAAATCACATTTTAACCATTAACCACTCTCCGCATTCACCTGATATGGCACTGTGCGACTTCTTTCTTTTCGGAATAATGTATTTGTCCATGAAAGGAAAGCGTTATGCAGACGTAGAGGCAATACAAAGGGATTGCGCCGCCATACTGGCGGCCATACGGGTCAACGAGCTAAACATGCATAAAGCTGTATTGAAGCAGAAGGAGAATATTTTGAATAAAATAAATTGATTTTGCCGAAAAAACCATTTGCTCTATTTTTTTAAGTCCTGTTGACTTTGGAACGCACCTTGTATGTATACCTATATACAAATATCTCGGTTACATATAACGGTTAGGTGATCTAAACAATAATACTCTGTAGCCACATGTTGGAATAATATAACAATAACACGTTATTCTTTTACAAAAAGCAAATTTGGTCTACATTTCCTGAAAAAAAAATCATCTTGATCGATGATTGTCTAATTATATCTATTAAAACAAAAAGTTCTTTTAAAATAAGAGGCTTTCATAATAATTTGGTATGGTGAGTCGAGTCACTGTAGTGACCACAACTGTGACCATAGTTAAACCTTTTTTCTTTTTTATTTGCTTTTTAAGAAACATTTGTAAGGGCACTAATTTTGCACATAGGCTTTCAGAATAGGCCTTCTCTGAAAAATTTAAAATTTAGTACCGGGTATTTTTCTCTGCCTTCTATACTTTCACTAA